TGTCATCAGAGGCTTGCTAGCTAGAGCTTGGAAGGCAGATTAGGAAAAAAAAAAACCAAGACAAAAGCTGGTGATTTCCTTCCCTCCCTACAGTTTCACTTGTAACTAACCGGGTTTTCATTCCTTTCTCACTGGTTCATTTTAAGACCTCCTCTTGGATCAGCTTTGGAACCAGCCTTGACGTGTGTTTTTGTTATTGACCTTGAAATTAGAAGTAGGCTGCTGGTATCAGAAAAGAACATCTGTGTGGTACAGGAAGAACTGAGCTGCTCGAGTAGTGGGGAACTGGAGAGGTGACAACTTCTACACATGAGAATCACATGGCTGTGTGTAAGTAGGTGCCAATATCAGGAATTCCTCCTGTAAGTGGAGAAGAGGATGAAATAATTGAGGCAGCTGTGAAAGAAGCATGTGTGATCCCAGGTTGTGTCATGTGAGGAGTTTTGAGCAGGGATGTTTGAATGTCCTCAGATGAGGCACTGGTAGAAATCAGCCACTCCCATTTCCAAAAGAGGAATTTAAAGGAGGAGACTAAAGACAGGGCCTGGATTTTTCACAGTGGGTGTAGGTGGAGCAGGGGAAAGAGCAAACACCTTCCTGAAATGAACCTCAGCGTTAGCTGGTTAAAACCCATTTCCGTATTCACAGGGATAAATTAAAGCAGAAGTTAGGACAAGGCTGCTAACTGTGAGCGAGGGAAACGGGAGGAAGACACCTGCCTACCTGAAAAACAGTTTTAACCTTGTTGCTTACGACAGCCAAGACTGGATGCCAAGCGCCAGAGTTTCCATCTGCACCGGTTGTCCCAAGCGACCGCGTGTTTTTCAAAGCACGTGACACTTGCCATCGGGTCCAGCTCACAGCGTTTAACTCTCTCAACTGCAACGCAACGGCCAGTCTGAGCAGCATCCCGTGGGAGAGGAGCAGAGCTGTGAGGCAGGCAGGCTGCTGAGGGGAGGCTGCGGAGGAGGGAGAAATAACCTGCGGAGACGGGACAGGAGCGCAGCCTGCAGGAGAGGGGAGTTCCTCTGAGGTGGAGACCCTTTGGTCTTTTAAACCTGTGGAACTGTCACTTGCCTCCTCCTTCAGTCAGATTTGACATACTGTACTTCTAAAGATTCAGGTCGCACTGGCTTTTATTCCGCTATCTATATAATGTTAAAATAAAGTTCCTTGGCATTTTCATTTTAAATGGCCATTTTATCAAAACGCTCAGAAGAATAACCTCAATGCCAAAAACCATACCAACTGCTGCTGCTCCGACAGCTTTTTTCACATACCTGAGTGAACATTTGTCAGTATATTTTCAAACAGTCCGCAGTCAAAGAGTGACACCACTGTCTCTTCATACTCTGAGGAAAGAGATAATTTGATTTAGTATTATCAGGGAAAGGTTTCAGGAGCCCGGCATTACTGCAGAGCCCCACATTAGAAGCAGCACAACACAGTAATTACTTATTTTATATCCCACCGATCGCCTGAGGTTTTAAGATGTCTTCCTTCTCATATAGTCTACATTGAGAAAGAAGGAGCAATTTGTCCACTCTACTTGGGTGTTTTGTTTTTGGTTTTTTTTTAAGTTTCATACAGAAAATAGGAATGGGGACCTACTTGTAATTCCCTTTTTGGGTCTGCACCATGTGAAGAGTCTATTTAAAAATGAGCAATGTACTTCAGTCATATTTCATTCTATCGTGTCAGGACTTCACGTGTAACAGCAAAGCTGACCACACCAAGTCCTCTTGACAGACCATGTGACAGGTGGGACAGTGCTATCACTGTTTGATGTTAAAAACCAGCCCAAAATGATGGGCTGGTTTTTCAGGCTTCCAATGAAACGAAATACAAACCACCCACAGAGCTTGCATGGCCATTAAGAGGTTTGCTTAATGACAAAGAGCTTTGAACACCTAACGCGCCCTGGACTTCACTACTGCTGTCATGTTACGCACAAGTTGCTCGTGATGAAGATTTAGCCAGGTGGGACATTTCCCTTCCCATGCATGTGCTGCAGTTACTTTGCAAAAATCAGCATACGTTATCCCAGGGTATTACTCAGAATTTTGTAAAGCTGGGAGGGCAATAGGGGAAGGTTTGAAATTTCCTTTTTCACTGTGTTGTGGACAAAGCAACATCACAGTGGAAACCTCCAAGAATAAAGCACTTCATACAAGCTGACACTTAAACCCATAAAACCCACAAATACACACTAACAGTTGACATCATTAAAGTTCCAAGTAATCTTGCAAAGATTTAAAAACGTACGTAGTCAGGGACTTTTCCCTCAAAAGAGAGCGCTGATTAGCAGATAGCTGGTCCCTCTGTGAAGCCGGAAGAACACCACAGACTTACGAACCCAATAAACCCTTCCATTTCTCCTCAGGACCTCTCTCTTCTTCAGTGCCTGGGAGAAGAGGTCAGGCTGAACCCACCTATGCTTATGCACATTTGCTTACGGGTAAAAGGTGGCTTCAAAAACTCCAAGTTAGAAGGCCCTACTGGAGCATGCCGAGTTGGCAGCTCTTCCCCTCTGCTGGCACAGGTGTACCAAAAACTACTCACTACGTGCTGTGCAGACGCAGAAATAAGGCAGGACTCAGTTATTTAGCACTGAAGAAGTATTCTCAGGAAGGTGACCCAGGGCCGAGTGCCCAGCATTCAGATGAGCCTTTCTGCGCCGAGAGCAGAGTCCCCCATGGGTCTCCATACCTGTTTCCGAAGTGTTGTCATCCATCAGTTTTTCCTGCGCCAGGTGAAGCGTGTCCAGCATTTCTTCAAATATGTCATCCAGAAGCCCAGCTCGCTTGCATTTTCTAAGGAACTCTATTTGGACTGTCAAAACACAAAACCACACACTCTTATACAGATGTGACCCTGACCACAGCTGCATGGGCTTAACTCCCTCGCCTCAGAAACAGAAAACTTTGGTCAACTCCCCCTTCCAGTAACAAATATTTATGCAAATCCCTGGTTCCTTCAGCTACCCACTCAGCCCTTTTCAAAGTGGGAACAAAACCACGGTCAGGCCAATGAAGCACTGTGCTGGGTATAAGGTTACCTAAGCTCTAGACTCGGCTTCATTCATCCACAGCAAATATCTCCACAAGTATAAATGCTCCATTCCCAAAGCCTCCTGATATCCCCAGCAGAGGGAAGCAGGTGATTTGTCTTGCTTTTTTCCCTTCCAATCCTCATGACCACACTGTGGACTAAACAGGCTAAAGGACAGAAAACAGTGCCAGAAGTGATGCGGTGTTGGATTTGGTGAGAGAATTAAGGCTACTTTTACTCAGTGATCCAGACATTAAACTCGTTTGTTACAGCCCAGTTTATACGCCTTAGTCAGATCTGGGTTGCTAGGGAAATAACTACCTATTTCTTCTTCATCTCAGAGCAGCAGGTCAGTGACCGGTTTCAGTGAAGATCAATTCAACGGGCTGTTCAGAAGGAAGGAGCAATCGGACAGCTCACAGAAGCCCGCCAGTCTCCATTAAAAACAACATTACTTTTTTCTGGAGACATCTGTGAGAAAAGAAATGCCATTTCTCTTACACTAGACGCCCTCCAAGTATTCCAGGATTCTTTACAGGTTCCCTGCTCTTTACAATTGTAGTAAAAATTCAGAAAAAACATTAGGCGGGCACCTACTGTTACAAGACCGTGCCCACGTACTAAGCACAGCCATGGGACGGTGAATAACCACCACTAACACCTTTCAGACTGCCAAGCCACAGCACAACCCCGACAAGCAGCTGCAGCAGGACTTTCGAGGTAACATCAAAGCTGCAGAACTAAAGGATGGGTCCAGCGTTTGATTTCACTGTTAACACCGTATTTACGTAGTAAAATACTACGTTGTGTTAAGCACCCTGTGTACAGCCAGGGTTCAAAATTACAAGAGTTCACAGTGCGCTGAACTCCTCTCTCACTGCTGGGACACTGCTCAATCCCTGCTCCTCACAGCATCTCCTCGGCTAACCCCTTCCAGAGTGCCACCTGGCAGAACTACACACCTCTCCTTCGAGAGGGGCTCAGCGCAAAGAGGCTGAGGTGAAGAAGAAATGATTACATTTTAAATTTAACTGTAGTGATATGGAGGGGGGCACGTCTGGGAGAAGCACCCCTGTTTGCTGGAGACACACAACTGAACACAGCGGCTGGCCAAGGCAGGGGCGTTACGGTGAATTCACTGGCTCACGTCACACAGCGAGTCTCTGCCGAGGCACAGAGACTTGTTTGCTGCACAATTATTATAACCTGGTTTTGGTTGTGGCTGGGACAGAGCTAGCTTTCCTTTTTAGCAGCTAGAAGAGCTCTGTGTTTTGGATTTAGTCTGGGATTCGTTGAGAAGAATGTTGATAGCGCACTGATGTTTATAGTTGGTGCTGAGACCTCAGGGACGTTTCAGGTTGCCATGTTCTTGCCAGTGTGCAGGAGCACAAGAGGACAGGGGGGAGCATGGCCGGGACAAGAGGCTCATAACTCCCCTATGAGTTTAACTTAGACTTAGGATTGAGGGCTAAATTGCTAAATTGGCCACTGAAGTATTCCGTATCACACAAAGCCATGTCCAGTGTACATATGAGGGCTGACAGGGAAGAAACAATCTTGCTCTTCCAGGGGTGCTCTCTGACTCTCGGCATGCTCTCTCTCTCTTTCTCTCTTTGGGTCTCTCCCTTGTCTGGATTGTGGTGTCAGGACTGACCTGCTTCAGAATCATTTGCTGGGATGGGACAGGCGTCGGTCACCAGGTGGTGAGCAATTACACTGTGCATCACTTGTTTGTATACATTACTATCATTACCCATATATATAGTCATCTATTATTATCATTATTACTTTTAATTTTATATTACTAGTAGTAAATTGTTCTTATCTCAATCCACGAGTCTCCTTCCCTTTTCCCCTTTAATCTCTTCCCCATTCCCCAGGGGTAGGGAAGGGTGAGCGAGCAGCTGTGTGGCATTTAGTTGCTGGCTGGGCAGAGCCATTCTGCAAACCAGACTTCTGCTCCCTTGCCGGGGCTTGGAGAGTCACTCGTCCCAGGAGAACAATAAAGATACATTCGCAGCATCGCTGCTGTCAACCATCTCCAAGCTCTGAACTTCAACATAACAGATCACAGTATCTCCTCGTTGTCCTATAAAGTGAGTTGCACCTTTATGCCTGTTGGTTTTCCTTTTTAGTATTCGTAAGCTGTTTTCTTCTGCTGTCTCTTCTGTGCTCTGTAAGAAAATCAGAACAACGCATTTTTACATCATGCTGACGTTTACTGCTCTGTTATCACCACCTTACCTCTATATTGGCAGAAAGATAAAAACCAGCCCATATTTCTGTGAATACAGTCAGCTTCTCTGTACAGCTAACCATATTCCTCTCCAGACATTCAGTTTTTAAAAAGGGAAGCAAAAACTGCTTCAAAGTAAAAACTCTTCAAGAAAAGCCCAACACCTGGGACACCACTCTCCTTAATCATTGCTGCATTTGCAAATAACACAGATGTTAACAAATGCCTACTGCTAACTCCCAGGGCAAATGATGCTGAGTTCCCTGGACCTGATGGAACACTAGAAAGTATTTGAGAGGAGAGGAGGAACATTTTTCTTCTCCTTTGGACAGGACGCAGTCATTCGCTGCTCTTCCACATCATAACACAGTACTACAAATAATTTTTAGGCTCTGCCACAAAACTCCAGCAGTGTAAAAACACGTTGCTTACACAATGGTAAACAATTTATCCCCAGTGATAAATCCTGGAGTCCCTCAGCTTCTTATTTGCAGTGATTTCTGAGATGGCTAGCACTGCAGAGCAGCAGAAACAGCACATTACCATGGGTAACAAGTTCATGAATTTCAGCTGTAATACCATGAACATAAGTGGATTGACAGCTGAGAAATTCCTGGAGACAAATAATCTGCCCTTATGAGAGTACTACATAAAAGCTGCAGGTTGTCCATGTCCCCTTACACCACCTCCCTTTAATCTCAAGACCTGGGAATGGCAGAAGTGTTTCCCAAGGAAAGCTGGATGCTACTTCCTCTAGAAAGGAGAAATCCCAACCCCTCCAAGAGTCAATGGAAGTTCCCATGCCTACTTCTGCGGGGCCAACAGAATCACCTCAAAACTTAAAATAAGCTGTATTTACAGTTTTCTAACAACAGCCCCTAAAACAGCTCCTCCTGCAGCCAGAGAGATGCTCTGCCTGACAGCTCCTGAGCCCTTGGCAAGGCCATCTTCACCGGCAGAACTGAGAACTGCCTGATCTGCAATGAAAATCTGCCACGTTTACCATCAGCGCAGGCTCACAAATGAGTAAGTGCTTGTTTCAAAGACCAATGACTCATCAAAAGCAGTTTTTAGCCATAAGCAAATCTGAGGGCTGTAGTACTTCCAGAGAAAAGGAGCCCCCAAAAGGAAGCTCTGGTTATGTCAAGATCACAGCCACTGAGTCAGCCAGGTTCAGAGGTTCCTATCACATTTGTGCCACATTACCCGAGGGAAGCATTGTCTCTGCCTGAAGCAGCTCCAAATGCAAACATAGAATCATCTGGTTGGAAGAGACCTTCAAGATCATCGAGTTCAACCATTCACCCTGCACTGTCAGGGTCCCTAAACCATGTTGCTCAACATCAAATCTACATGGTTTTTAAACACCTCCAGGGATGGGGACTCCACCACCTCCCTGGGCAGCCTGTTCCAATACTTCACAACCCTCTCTGTAAAGAAATTCTTCCTGATATCTAATCTAAATTTCCCCTGGCGTAACTTGAGGCCATTCCCTCTTGTCCTGTCATTCATAACATGGGAGAAGAGACTGACCCCCATCTCCCTACAACTTCCTTTCGGGTAATTGTAGAGAGTGATAAGGTCCCCCCTGAGCCTCCTCTTCTCCAGACTAAACCGTCCCAGCTCCCTCAGCCGCTCCTCATAGGACAAGTTCTCTAAACCCTTCACTAGTTTCGTTGCTCTTCTCTGAACCCACTCCAGCACCTCAACGTCCTCTTGAAATGAGGGGCCCAAAACTGGACACAGTACTCCAGGTGTGGCCTCACCAGTGCTGAGTATAGGGGGACAATCACTTTCCTGCTCCTGCTGGCCACACTGTTTCTGATACATGCCAGGATTCCGTTGGCTTTCTTGGCTGCTTGGGCACACTGCTGGCTCATGTTCAATTGGCTGGTGACCCGGACCCCCCGGGCCCTCTCTGCTGGGCAGTTCCAGCCACACTTCCCCAAGCCTGTAATGCTGCAGGGGGAGCCGCAGGATCTTGTCATTCGTTTTGGCAGAATGACAAGATCAAAACAAGGCAGCTATAAAGGAAGAGTTACTGCTTCTGTGAGGAAGTATCTTTCTGAATACACTGTCAAAATACTTCACTAAAGAAGTCCTTTTGCTGTAGCAGATGTGGGTTCCTGTGTTAGAACTACTTTAATTCAGAATTACCATTTGTTCCGTGATGGTGGAAGATTTCAGTGAATGTCTTCTCCTCTTATTAGCTGCATCTAGGAATCAAGAAACAATCAAGTAACAAACGTGTCAACATCAGACTGATGATTTTACATCATTCAAATTCTCTCTTTTCGCAAAAAGCTAGAAAAGTGAGGCACTTTGGGTGGCAAGGGAAGAGTATGTTCCAGTTTCCCCAAACACCTGACATTTCAGTGTAATTCACATTTTTTCCACGTAAGAAAAATTCCAAGCCTGAACCATTAGGAAGAAGTGCAAATCACCATGGCATTAGGATATCACTTTGCCTTTTAAACTCAGTATAAAGCAAACCCCAGTTTTTAACGTAAGGTTCTGGACTGTGGCTAAGAGAACCGACTCTCCCCAGCAGCAGCACTACCTCTAGGTGGTAAAAACTTCAGGTGAATTTATGAAAGATGACTGTTTCTTTTCAGTCAATCCTCGTTTATGTCAATACACCCTCAAAACTAAGACCACATAAAGAATTATTTTAGGTGTAACAAAGACATACAAATGGCATTAGGGTTTTCATCAATATAATGACCTCCTAGAAAGCCTCCAGAAGCAATTTGACTTGTGAGATTAATATTGTTTACACTACAAAGTGTTTTTAGTGACTTGGTATGAGATCTTCACAAAACTATCTGCTTTCACTTTGTCATTTCTATCAGCATGCACCAGTCTCTCTCCAACATCGTAACTGGCAGCTGCTGAAAACAGCTACAGCATCACAAGCAGAGAAGGGTAACTCTGGCAAAGAAGACATGGCAGGAGCAGAGACAGCTAAAGGAAAGTTCAACCACCCACCAAAACCTGAGGCTTTTAAATGCAGTGGGGTTATATGCTCCTTTCCCTTTTAAATCTACATCCTTTGGGCAGCACTTAGTAAGGTTTTTGCTATTAGAAATCATCCTACTAAGAGGAATGTGGAATTACTATTGGTGCAGGAAGGCTGTTGAAACAAATTTGGTTTTTGAGTACTCTTCGAGTATGGTGCTGTACATTTGCATTTTTCATGGCCTGAAAGAAAATCATAGCCTCTCAGTTTATCCAAAATAAATCTGAGAGGCCTAATCTGGAGCAGTCCAGGAGACACTGGAGTAGGCATACAGTGTTGCTTGCTGTCTAGCAGGACATCTTTGATTTGTGGTAGGATTTTCTCAGCTCTTCCCGATGTTTGCTTTAGGGATGCTTTATAAAACAAGAGAAACACCGTCTGAAGAGCAGCCCAACTCTTCCTGATCCCACAGTGTTCTCAGCTCTTCTGTGTTTGTCAGCCTTTACTCTGAGTACATCCAACATTCCCAATTAACCAGAGGTTGGAACCTGTTTCCAAAGTGCCCTCCTATCTCTGCTGTACAGAGCTGTAAGGAGACCTCCTAAGGCACTCTATCCCCTTCCAATCACACAGCAGAGCCCTGACATTTCAGCACAGGAATGTTGTGTGGACCAAGAGCAAGAGGATGTTCCTTGACCCCATGTTCCCCAAGCTACTACAGGAAAACAAGCCTGGAGAAGCAGCCCTTAGGTACCAGCTCCTGCTCCCACACAGCCTCGTGCTGGCTCAGCCTGCCCCAGACGAATGGCTGAGCTACTTTACCTGAGTCGGATCCTGAAAGTCAAAACTCTATGGAGCCACAGCACTTCCATCCCAGCCTGTCTCACCCCTCACCCTGTGTAGACCTGCAAACGCACTCAGCACAGGTGTTCCCTGCCTTCCCAGATGGGCCAGGAGTGGGCCCGACAGGGTACTTAATACTTCAGTCAACTCACCAGCAGACATCCCTGGCTATTCTGAGCACCACGCATGCATCTGACAGCTGCTCAGAGGTGGGAGACATCGGGCTTGGGGAACCAAGTGCCATTTACCCAACTCTCACAGCTGTTCTTCACCTCCTGGGGTACAGCTACTCTCTCAGATAGAGGTGAGAGAAGCTCATTCAGGAGGCAGGGCAGATGCTGCCAGCAGAATCCATTTACTCCTCATAAACAGAGGGTCTCCAAATTCAGTGCCTCTGGAAGATGTCCTCTAGGAGAAAACTCTCTTCTCAGGGAACAGGTCATAGATTCTATATGCAGCACTTGAAGACACCAAGATCTTCAACTTCATAAGATTTAAGCCTTCCTTACGAAGGAGGCGGTCTACAGGGCTGGGCCTAATGCTTTAATCTCATCTCATACTGGAAACGAAGCAATCCTGGCCCTGTCTAATACTCGGGAGACCACCCGGACAGACCCAACAGACTGACAACCATGAGAAATCAAATGAATTCAAAAAGGGAAGGAATGTCAGGCCTCAAAACTACTAAGTGAAATAAGAAGGTGCATTTGGTTAGTGAACCACAGAAAATATCAGATGTTAAATGGACTCTCTGTCTGGCTAAGAAGCCCCAGACCCTATGACTAAAAGTTTAAATGATAATCACCTAACCTGCCCCTTGAGCGGAATCAGGCTGGAGCCAGACTTTGTTAAGATAAGCCAAAGTTCACGACACTTCAGTGGTAGCACGATACTCTTAGCATTAGTGCTCACAGTTCGATTCAGCTTAACTTCAAAGTGAAGGCCAGTCTAAGATCCACTCTGTTTTGAGCAGGACTGCATGCACGAGGTTAACAAAGCCACAGATTTGGTTAATGCAGTGAGATTACTGACTACCTGTGAATCAGCGAGGTCCAGGACTGCCAAATCAAGGTGCATTTCTGTAGTAAAGGAAGCAATCCTTAAATAGGGGTTGTATAACCCTTTCGCTATGCTTAAAAGCTCTTTGGGATCCTTCAGAATGAAAGGCCCTATTTAAAAAACTACTGCAATGAATACAGACAATGCAAATGTGAATGTTTTAACACAACTACAGATAAAAATCCCAAGGTGACCACTCCTGTAACACCCCTTGCTAACAGCTGCAAGCTTGTGCATTACTCATTAGCATGGCTCTCGTATCTCACAGTGGTTTTACAAGCTGCTTGAGTCTACCTGCCTGCACGGAGTAAGAATAATTCCACGAAAGATCAGGTCCACAGTTTCAAGGGAGATTTGAAGTCAGTTGTAAGGGAGATTTGGGGAAGAGCAAATAAAAACATTTCCTACTTCAAAAACCCTTCCTGATTTTTGTGCATACACATGGATCTCAACCAAATCACTCCTGCAAGATTAGAAAACCACCACTCAATTACAAAGGTGGAGTAACACTTATTTTGTTCAAACAAGTTATTGACTGTAGGATACAAACTTTTAAAACAAATGAAATCAATGAATCCATTAAAAAAACTCACCATAGTGATTGCTCCTACTGCCTGGGTCATGTTTTGGGCAGAACACTCTAAAATTTAAGTTCAATTTTAAGAAAAAGAGAAAAAGTATTAATAAATACGTAAACAGAGTTATGCTGACTGATTTTAACAGATATTTTCCCCTCTTTTCATTGAACGTAAACTGAAAGACACTTTTAAGAAATTACCAGGATTTCTGTTCAGCATTACCCACCTAGGAAAGCACCTGCTGTAAAGGCACACACATGCACAAGTTTGTATCATAGAATCGTCTGGTTGGAAGAGACCTTCAAGATCATCGAGTCCAACCATTCACCCTGCACTGTCAGGGTCCCTAAACCATATTGCTCAACACCAAATCTACACGTTTTTTAAACGCCTCCAGGGATGGGGACTCCACCACCTCCCTGGGCAGCCTGTTCCAATACTTCACAACCCTCTCTGTAAAGAAATTCTTCCTGATATCTAATCTAAATTTCCCCTGGCGTAACTTGAGGCCATTCCCTCTCGTCCTCTCATTCATAACATGGGAGAAGAGACCAACCCCCATCTCCCTACAACTTCCTTTCAGGTAATTGTAGAGAGTGATAAGGTCCCCCCTGAGCCTCCTCTTCTCCAGACTAAACCGTCCCAGCTCCCTCAGCCGCTCCTCATAGGACAAGTTCTCTAAACCCTTCACTAGTTTCGTTGCCCTTCTCTGAACCCGCTCCAGCACCTCAACGTCCTTCTTGAAGTGAGGGGCCCAAAACTGGACACAGTACTCCAGGTGTGGCCTCACCAGTGCTGAGTGTGTTTGTACTTTGAGAGCCTCAGTGGACTCTGAGCACTGAAGCTTTGAATTATCAGCTCCATTGCCTCGCTGTTTGGACTTGCTCACTCTTCAAATCTTGAGCCAGACACATTTCATCCGGCGTGGCAATCGCTGTGGCAGAGGTAATCATACTGAGACGCCTTATTAAAATGAGATTAACGCTGTAAAGATGAAATACTACAGTACTAATATCACTTGATCATAGCTACTGCAGCTCTTCCCCCTTGCCTTGTGCCACTCAGGCCAGGTCCAGAACCTCTTTAAGACGTATCTGCTTACCAGTCAGCTTGACCTTATAAGCCCTGCACGATGTGCTGGCATAGCCACGCAGCACTGCACGGCCACACACAGTACCAGTTACTTGCTTGGAGATCTCTCTGCCCCTCCCTTTCCACTGCCCAGTGCTGACGAGGTGGTCCCCAAATCCTGAGGAAGTAGGGCACCCTGTTTGAGATCCAGTAGCTTAAAGCTGCTCAATCCATTTGTTCCTTAAAGACTTTAGATGTGAGATCGGAATGTTTTCTCTGGTTCTAGGAGAGCAATGTGAATTCCTTGGAGGAGGCAAAATGCAACAAATACAGCTAGAAACATTCCTTATCTTCTGGATAAGATAAAGTGTAGAGAACGTGAACCAGCTTCTACAATATGCCTTTCTTACAGAAGGATCCCAAAACACTTTTTAAGCAAAATCACCTTATCAAGAGTGTGATTGAGAAGAGAGCTGATCTCTTCATTACCAACCTATTTGCCAAGACTAACGCTCCAGTGTTCAAAAGCAATTTTTAAAACGAAATGCGTTTACCAGGACATTTTCTAATTATTGTCATTCTTTTATTTTAACAAAATAGAAGCACTGACTTTAGAAATGCAGTCTGTTTCCTTGATGAGACAGCTTTTTTGCATGAAATTTATTTTGATGCACGAACCCACAGATTTATGCATGTCTAACAATTCAATCAAAGCTAAGTACTGGAGGCACCTTATTTACATCCCTGAATTTCTAATATTGCCCTTTGGAGGTTGCTTTTTTCCTCCTCTCCCTTTAATCCTATTCTTTCCCAGTTAAAAACAACCTTCCTAAGTACAAGAAGATCTTATAAAGAACAGACAATACTTCTTATTTCTCAGGCCACTTGATTTGGAAGCACTTCCCTACTACAATTTTTGCAAGATGGCAGTACAAACTACGCTTATTTCCCCACCTCTGCTCTTAACTAGCCACTTCCATAGCACTGCATGCCTTCTCTTTTTTGTTCTGCTCTATTTGTTTGGATAATCACCCCTCATCGTTGCCACGATGGCAACTCAGAATTGAAAAATACCATTATCTCTCTCTTTCTCTCAGGAGTTCTCTCTTTTGATACATTTTTCAGTATGTTGTATTTCACCATGAAAAAGTGCAAGGGGCTGTCCATCCATGTCCACTGTTTTTCAAGCCTTGTCTTCTCTCCAATAATTTCAGGCTAGCTACAGATTTCCTGCTTTATTCATGGCACTGATACTGTGCAAAAGTATTTGGGCTCAAATCCCTGAAACCTGCCTCACCATCTTTCTCTAATCCAGTCCTCTTTCATCTCCTCAATGCAGGTTGCTATAGCCTAGTTTTCTATATCTCTAGGCTATAGACAAGCAACTAGTCTCACACAGTGACTTAATACAAGGCACTTTTAAGGGTCCCTCTTCCAAACCTCCAAGGTCACAAGCTCAGAAAACTACCAAATCAAACTATATATTCAACCACTTCTTTACCAGTTTGTATCTAGACTGCTACCAGTCCCATTCATTTTTCCACATCTTGAGGAGTTCAGTCTTCCTCAGCCTGAGGTACCCTTTCTAAAGCTCTATGATGAGAGCTACTTATTCTGTGACCATAGAAAGTTTCCAACTTCCAAGCTAGAGCTTTGCAGACTCCCAAAGGCTCTATAAACATAAACTACACATATCATCTTCACTATACAGCTGGGCCTAGAAGATAGGATGCAGAAGGATGTATTTATTTTGGACTGAGAGCCCCAGTGAAGCAGCCAGGAGTAAAAGTGTTTTGACACAAAAGGACTCATCTTCCACTGCTGCTAAGGATTGCACTACTCTGTCTTTTCCTGCAACGAGTAGTGATTAGATGGTCTACCAGATTCATCTAAGATGAACATGGCCTGTGGTCTCTCTGGCCCTGCACAGAAATGGACATCGGGGGTTTTATGCACCTCAGACTTTACTATAACTTCAGCCCTTCAAAAGGTCCCTAAAGTCTCAATTTGTCAACTCCTTCATCCGCATTCTCCAAACAACTCGTTCCATCTACTAACAGCTATGCAGGCAATCTGAGGGCAGCGGACACCAGGACTAGCATGATCAGGACAGAAAATTTTAAGTATATTTTAAGTTGGCGGGAATACGAAGTTCTCTGTTAGCATATGGAGAAGATTACCAGAATTTGCCTAATGTGATCAGACCTAGAAGCTATAGCCTGCTCTGTGCTCAGACCATGTTTACTGAAGCTTCGGAACCAATGGAAACCGAGAATGAGTAACTAGAATAAAAATCTTAGGTCATAGAATCACAGAAGGGTTAGGGTTGGAAGGGACCTCAAAGATCATTTAGTTCCAAGCCCCCTGCCATGGGCAGGGACATCCTCCACTACACCAGGTTGCCCAAAGCCTCATCCAACCTGGCCTTGAACACTTCCAGGGATGAGGCATCCACAACATCTCTGGACAACCTGTTCCAGTGCCTCACCACCCTCAATGTAAAAAATTTCTTCCTTAGACCTAATCTAAATCCACCCTCTTTCAGTTAAAAGCCATTGCCACTTGTCTTATCTAAAGCCATTATCACTTGTCTTATGCCCGTGTAGAAAGTTGCCCTCCAGCTTTCTTGTAGGCCTCCTTCAGGTACTAGAAGACTGATATAAGATCACCCCGGAGCCTTCTCTTCTCCAGACTAAAAGTCTTGAAGTCCTTGAAGACTAGCTACATAGCCAGTAAGGACTGGCTTCCTCAGTTTTGGCCTAGTGATCTTTCAGGCGTGTTGCAGGCTCAAACACTGAATAGATTCCTTCCCACTGCTGTGATGTCTTCCTGCGAAAGGAAAACATTTCCCCTATTGCTTGAGAACAGAAGATCAAGCACCACTTTAACAGAGAACACATTTCCTTCTCAAAAAACTCTAAAAACCACACAATTTTTAAGTCTCTGTTCCTGACATAACCACAAAAACTTTGACAATAGTTAGAAAATACTTGGTTAAATACCGGTAGACTCCATTTACTTCATCCGTTTCTATCGCCGCGTCATCGCAGAGGGCGCAGAAGTAGTGATAACTTCTGCGACAGGCTCTTTCCTCGCATCCCACAGTGGCTCCTTTCTTGCGACAGAAGTTGCACACCTGGAGCAGGAGGAGGTTTAGCTGGTAAGCATTGCAGACAGCTCCTGAAAACCTTGCCATACAGGACAAATACTGTCCTCTGTGGGAAAAATCAAACCTTTTGTTGCAATTCGCCTCCGTATAACTCAACAGGCAAGTTCACTCCTGAAAACTGCCCTGGTCACTATTTCAGCCACCTTTTTGCTATCTTGCCTCTGTTTCATACACATGAATTTGTAAAACAACGCGAAGAGCCATGTGAGGGCACTCGGTAACTTCCCCCCGCTTCCTCTAAATCGTGCCCAAGTTATTTCAATACCTATTGGTATTAGTGCCTGTGTTAATGTTTCCTAGGCTAACTTCATAACGAAGAGAGTTCCACCCAGGATGTAAGGGAGGAAGGCAGCTGAAGACAAAGCCAATAAGAAAACCTCACATAAATAACCTTCTTTCTGCTAAGACCAGAAGGCGTTTCCCTTTACACTTACAGATTGCGTAATTTTGTTTCAGGCAGTGGTTTAGTCCTTTACCAAAGTCTCTTTGGAAACTTAGACTAAGGACTCAAATGCCAGAAAAATCAACGTATTTCAATACAAAATTAACCACGTTTCACCAAATACAATGTCAAATCAATGTTTCTAACTCTAAATCTGTAATTTCCCTAGTCTCAGTAGATCAGAAGGACCAAGTACTTTTCCACATCTTTTTTTTTCAAGCACAAAACAGGCCAGACAATCTTCAGTACTATGAGGTCGGACTAATTGCACATTCAGAAAGAAAATCCTTACCAGCCGCTTTCCTCTCTTGAGTTCTTTCAACACTGATGCCACGTCAAACCTTATATCCAGGTTATCTGGGTTATACTCTTCAGATTCCACAAATCCTGAGGAAAATAACTAAAGACAAAAGAGGCAATATTAAGAGTGCAGAAAAGCGAGGAAGAGTATATCTTTTCTTCTTGCACTTGCCCATCCTAAGAAGGCCAATTTTTCTCTTCTAAGAGGTTTCACCTACATTGAACAAGGAGCTGTGCTTAAACCTTGTTACAGTCAAAATAAGTTTCTTGGTCTATATAGGAGATTTCACATGACCTGAAGGTGAACTAAGATAACAAGGCAAGAAAGTGAACTTGGTAAGAAGTGTGAATGAAGAAAGCCTGGAAGTCCAGGCTGCCCAGAGTAAGGAGGGGAAGCTCTTTGACTGTCAGATCTTCACGAATTGAACACACTGTTATCTGCCCAGTTGTTCAGCCTTACAGCTGGATGCAACATTTCTCTGTAATGAAATTTCCATACAGTCCAATGCTGACAACAGTTGACTGCATGAGAAACACAGGAATGCTGTACAAAGCCTGGGAGAAACCCACAAAAAAACGTGTACATGCACGTTCAGGCCAGTTTAATTCCCAGACGTGCTAAGCCATGATAATAAGTGAGGAAAGGGAAGTTCTTAGCAACTCTTTTCTAATCATTATATATAGCTAATTCCAAACAAAAGCGAGCTCCCCTTAAGCCAACTGCCAGGCAAAGTCTGCCTGCTCAGAAGGGGATAGCTAACTGCGAAAAACGCAAACAGTGCAGAGAAGCCTAAGGCAGAGATATTAGTACAGTTGTTGGGGGGAAAAAAAGAGTAGTAGAAAAATAAAGACGTAAACCTAAAACCTGCGAGAATAGAAGGCTGGAACAGTGAAAGCCAGAAAGCTGTTCCAGCAGCAGATGCGTCTCCTGCACTAAGTGACCCTCACTGAAGGGAGAACATGGCATCTGTAGCTGATTCTGCACCCAAGAACCAGCTCCACTAAAATCTCAGAATAAAGGTGAGGCATTTTGACAGCAAAAAGAGAAAATACATTCCAGGATCACATCACGTTTAGAGCTTCACAGATATTTTTTACATAATCTACTTCCGATATTCTTATGTCTTCTATAAAATAAGGCACCGACTGGGAAGTTTTACAGCTTGATGTATCAAGTGATGTGAATATTTTCCTGCAAAGGTTTAAGTACGCAACTTTCTGTGGTCTGAGAAGCCTCGTTCAATTTAATGTCTCAAGAAGACTTCCTGCTGCTAGACTGTATGTCTGTCTAGAACCATTCATCAGGAACAGACATGCATGAAAACACCACAAATCAACATGTCCAGCTGCGCAGCCCTGTCCTCCAGGTCTCCAAAATTCTGGCCAAGCCCAGTTGGTTTTTATATTAGATTGAAAAGCTATGAAGTTGCTGCTTTGGGTAACCAACCTTTCCATTCAGACACCATTGTAGAGTCAAAACCAGACAAGCAGTGGAAACTTCCCCTTCAGCTCTTCTCCATTCCTCTTAGGTATTGAGCAACTAAAAGCCACTCACCAGACAATCCTGATGAGCCGCAATATTTCGCTCTTTGGCAATGTACATTACAGAACCGGCCTCCCCCTCCGAACAAAACGCACATGTTCTTCTCACCATCTTCGCCATTATCCGGAAAACGCCTAGAGCAGGAAAACCAGGACAAAACACAAAGCAATTGATGCAACTATCTTACACCAAGCAGGACGAACAGAAGAAAGCAGAGCTTGCCAGCACTTGCCCTCTAACTGCCCCTTCACCTACATCCCCTGAACCTTGGTTCTCTGCTCCTCCAGAAACAATCACTAGTAGAACAGGCGAAGCCCGCTCTTGGGACAGCAGGGGGATGGAAACCAGCTCCTGGGAGCTGGTAAGGAATAGTATAAGAGTTTTCAAGCTTCCTCGGCAACATCTGCTCCAACAACAGGCTCAAGAGTGGGCCAGAAAGTCATGGCTAGATGTGAAATCCCTTTTATTTGCAGGAGGTCAGTCATCCATAGCAGTGCCTTCCTTAAGCTAGTTTTGCCACATGTGAGTCTGCAAGTCAACTGTCCTCAAATTTCTCCAGTGCCTTCCAGGACTTCACAGAAAACAAGGAAGAAACACTAATTCCTCACTGTAAAAAGGACGTAGCAAAGACGGGTGGGGAAGCTTGCAAGTAAAAGGAGTAGAAGACAGAGTTGGAAATGAGAGATTTGAACCTTCTCTCTCAATGAGGTGGAGCGCTAATGTGACCAACATAATTTTCTCTATACCCTGAGACTTGCCCCATGGCCATCTGTTCTCTTCTTCTGGCCATATCCACTCAAATCTTAATTGCTCTTCTTCACACAGCCTCTCTTTTCTCCAGCAGCTGCAAAATTTTAAGACCAGCTACTTATTTCACAAAACAGTCTAAATGTTTCTGGATAAGCCTTTCAGGCATTCCCCACCAGTAGTTCAGAGCATCACACCACACATTAGTAGCAGAAGTTTTACTTTGCCTGTGGTTTCTGTGCAAGTCCACTGCAGAAATCTTCAACAATTTCCCACTCCTACTAGGTGTGACACTGCAAACTGCCCTTTGCTGGAGTCGTCACCTCTGACAGCACAAACTCCTGTAGGATAAGGGTAAGAAAAGTCTGCTTTTACTTTCAAGAAATAAGATGTGAGGTTAAATTATAGCGAGAGAGTGAGCAGTAAGGTCCAAGTACAAAACAGGCAGGAAATCTCACAGTTCAGCAAATCTCACGCACCTTTCTGTGGCTTTCAATAGCCAACCTCTGTTTTCATTACTTCACATCTCCCTTCCATAAAACAGAGGAGGTAGTTTCAAGTGAGAGCACCACCAGAGTAGAAAAGGATTAGATGTCTCCCCTCTGGCTCTACCACTGAGAATTTACTTAATCACAGGCAAGTCACTTTGCCTCCACACACATCTGGGTTTTTTTCCCCATACTTCTATCTCTTGTAAGCAAGGTAGGGTAGGGACTGATTTCTAATATCCATCTACATGGCGACCATCACATCAGTCTCAGAACTTCAGCATTAAAGAAATACAATACAAAGAGGAACGTATAGAAAAAGAAATACTAGAAACAGAATAGCAAAGACAGAAAGAAATTAAAAAGCTGAACAAGCTAGAGTTTGAACGGTCTAGAACTCTGGAAAAGTTCTCTGCAGCAAGCTAATACCTGGATTTGATGCAGATACATAGGCCCTGCTCAGGCCCAGTGAGAGGATCCAGCTCTGAGGGTTTTGGGAATTTCGTAAGGAAGAGGCTAAAGGTGAAGTCTACAGTCCCTGGTGTTCTTACAGGAGAAATCCTGGTGCTGCAAGACAACAGAGGACACTCAGTCAAGGTCAGCCTTGGGGTCACCCCAGCACCTTTGCAGGAACTCTGAAGCAGTGGAAGGACAGCTCTTGGCCATTCCTCACCGCAGAAGCAGCCAGCCTGCACCATTTAGCTCAGTGTCCTGACTCCCACAGGAGCGTTGCTTTGGCCCTGTGCTCTCCCCCAGCTTTCTGCTACAGATTATTGCCAGGGAGAGGATACCAAGCTGAATGGGGAAATGGATCTGGTTGGCTGCTCTCAAGTGAGAAGGGAGAGGCTAAGGGAGAGGTTCCAGTTCCATAGTTTAATTACATTTCACCTAAACAAGGCCTTGCTTTCGCAGGTCTTAAGCCTGCTGCTCACGGATTCCGTTTGACACCTCAGAATTTGTCTGAAAAGGCAAGAAATTGTTGTTCCTTACTCAGCTCCTTCAGTAATACTTGTGACAGCATAGATCTGTTATTCTTTCTCCTACTGTCTCCTTTTCAATTTGAAAAATATGAAACTATTTAGTTGTTCCTTGTACAGAAGATTCTTCACATCTTTGATCATCCCTATCACTTGTCAATCTCTTCTCTGCTCCTGCTACATTCCAAGAGGAGCAAACAACCTTCAAAAGTGTGGGCTACCATTTACAATACAAAGCCACAACAGCACTCTGTATTTTTTTATTCTTTCCTTAATAATTCTTAATATTTCAATCACATTTTAGACTGCTGCTGAGCATGGAGCCAACACTTTCATAGAACTATGTATTACAGTCCCCCAGATATCTTTTCTGAGTGGCATCAGATAGTATGGAGGGCATCAGCATTATGATGATTTGAGCAACCTGATCTAGTGGAAGGTGTCCCTGCCCACAGCAGGGGGGCTGAAACTAGATGATCTTTAAGGTCCCTTCCAACTCAAACCATTCTACGATTGTTGCTCTGACACATGCATCATTTCCCACTTATCAATGCTGGATTTTCACCTGGTGTTTTATAGCTAAATCACATGCTGTCATAAAGTCCTTCTGCAACTCTTCACAGCCAGCTTTCACTTTCACTGCCACAGAAGCAGACTGCAGGAACCTAAAGTGACCAATCCATCTGTAAGAGCTGGAGGCCCCTCCACTGCCCTCCAGTAATGGCAGAGCAAATGAAGCTGCAGAACAGAAGACAGAGGAGAGGCAGCTGAGGGAAAGAAAGTGTCACGTGCCTCTTGCTGCCTCTCTGGTACCTGTGCCATTTCCTAAAAGCAGGTTTTTGTTTTGGTTTTTTTTTTCCACAGTGATAAAATGGAAGAGAACAGGAAACGAAACAGAAAGTAAAAAGGGACAAGAACATTGCTGGCAAGTGCACAGGGGGACTGTGTCACTTCCAAATACACGTTGCTGAAACATTACCAGTTATCCAAGTTTTTCCTCTCCAAAACCAATTCTGCAAGCGTGTGTGCAAGTAAATAACACACATTTTACACAGGAGGAAATTAAGGCACAGAATGTCAATTGGCATACCTGTAGGGGAATAAGGAAAAGATCCTAAGTCCCCTGACTTCCAGTGCGCTACTGAAACTGCCCTAGCTCCTGCTCTGCTCTCCTCTCCACTTCCACATAGTGAAGGAGTTGATTTGTTGAAGTAGAGAGAAAGAAAGAAATTACGCACCTATTATCCTACACTCACTGCGTCCTCTGTTTGCGCTTTGTGGGGCAAGCAGCACTGCTGGTCATGACCTGAACAAGCACCCTCTGTTCCTCCCCAGTTACTAGTGGCACATCCAGCCTTTATAAAGCTTTCAGAATAAAAACCACAAAGATATTGGCCTTTCTGATCACCTTTCACTTGCTAGAGGGGAAATAATTTTTAAAGATCTAAAAAACACATTTTCTTTAGAAAAGTATATGTTAACACATCTGATCCAAGTAATGGGAGTGACTGGAGGGTTCCTCATCAGATCTAAACTCTCACATATTCACAAGATCACAGAAAGGTTGTGGTTGGAAGGGACCTTTGAAGATCACCTAGTCCAGTCTCCCTGCCATGGGCAGGGACATCTGTCACTAGATCAGGTTGCTCAAAGCGTCATCCAAACTTACCTGAACACCTCCTATGACGGAGCATCCACAACTTCTCAGGTAACCTGTTACAGTGCCTCATTGACTTCCTTATGACTTATCTAAACCTACCCTCTTTCAGTTTAAAACCACTGTCCTTTGTCCTGTCACTACAGGCCTCGGTAAAAAGCCTGTCTTTCTTATAAGCCCCCTTTGTACACTGAAAGGCTGCTAGGTCTCCTCAGAGCTTTCTCTTCTCCAGGCTGAAAAACCCCAACTCTCTCAGCCCTTCTTCACAAGACAGATGTTGCAGCCCTCTGATCTTTTTTCATGGCCCTCCTCTGGACCTGCTCCAACAGGTCCATGTCTGTCTTGTGCTGGAGACCCCAGAGATAGAGGCAGCACTCCAGGTGGGAGATGTCTGTACTTCTGTTGTTATAGGTCCTCCATCGCTCCCTGATGTGCTTCGTGTAGTAACACCTTACCCTCTACCAACGCACCACTTTGAGCGTTTTTAAAACACAGCAGCATCATTTTTAAGAGAATAACGGTTCCCACCTTGCTCCAACCGCTAAGTGCCACAGGGCAGAACTTGAAGGAGGACAGGGATCGACTCTCCAACAATTTAGACACCTAGGTGCTGAGGTGGGGCTGGGATGGGGCCTGCTGAGGTGATGTCTTCCCTCATGCCCCACTCCTTCGAGGCCTAACGGGGTGAGTTGTCAGCTAGTTGGGCCTGCCTCGGCCCGGAGCCTCCCGGGGCG